AGGTTATAATATTCTGAAAAAAAAAAATCAACATATAATTCGTATCGACTAAAAGTAAGAATTTATCTAGTTTACTTTGAAACTCAAATTTTACACGACATTTACAGGAAACGCACGGACATGTTCACATAAAACTGTAACAAGCTTGCAGCGCAAATGAGCTTACACGCGGCGAAATAAATTTCCTATAATTCCTGCTGGGATGACCAGTGTTCTTCAACCACTCGACGTCAGCGTTAAAAAGTAATTTAAGTTAATTGTTTGCAATAAGGTGAACCAGTGGCTAGCAGAGAGGGACAAATCCCTGACTTTGACAAGACGCAGTGGCTGACCAGATCTTTTACTTTATATTTCCATCATGGATAATAAAATCCAAGCAAAGTATTTCTGGTTATATACAAGTGTCGTTAAAAAAATGTACCCCAAATATGATGCCTTTTCTGACAAATATGACTTTTCAATCGTAATGCATGAAGAAATTTCGTTTATTAATTAGGCACACTAATAGATTAAGATCAATAACTAACAGGAAAATAGATCAATGCTAACAATATCTATAATAATAAAGGGCGGTGAACGTGTGTCTGTCCATTTTTCGATCTTGGTAAATCAAACAACCTGAACAGGTAGTAACTATTGTAGTTACACGAGATTAAAAAATAAATAAATAACTCATTTAGTGTTAAATTCAAATATCGAACAGAATGAAAGATTTAAAAAATTCTTTATTAAAAGGTTTAACTTTAATTTCGCTTTTCGTTGCAATTGCAATTGATATCGTCTAACTGAACCGTAATTAAAACTTACATTACTCATACGTATTTTTTCTAGCATGCGTACTGTGACCTATTCAAAATATTACATAGTTCGGGTTGTAATGTTTTTTTTTAAGAGTGACTTTATGTGGAGGGATCATAAAGAAATTACGCGCAAAATAAATGTAAACAAACTATGGAGATCGGTTGCGTATACGAAGAAAGATTATGACGAGTTAAGGTGTCGAATAAAGATAAAATAATTTTATTATTTCTAAATTCTTTTACGTACATAGGACGCCGAAGGTAAAAGGTCGAAGGCCCAAAATCTCTCCTCAGGAGCAAGTTTAAAGCCCGCCCGAAGGGCAACTTGTAAGCTACTATTGTAATAAATTTATGTCACAGATAGAGGATTCGTACTTACTGTAGATCAGGGGTCGTCAAACTTTTTCGATCAGAGACCCCCTTTTGTTTTTCCTCCTTCCCCCAACGACCTCTATTTAAAATATCTTTGAACCTCTCACTGATGTTGGCAATTAAAATGTTAACTTAAATGTATGAAAAATTAGGAAATTTGGATCAGTTTCAGAATTTTCCCCCAAAATATATTTAAGAAAATATATTATATGAATCAAGCAAATATTATATTAAGTGCACCAAGCCTAAATTCAGCCGATGTTATTAAGCAGAAATGCATAACCTTTACTAATAGCCAAGTGCACAGCTGTACGAACTAATTCAATTAAATAAACCAATATTGCATCATACTTGATGCAATCATTCCAATCAGGCCAAAAAACCTTCATAATCATAAACTCTATTTTACAGTTAGAGGTTGAAAATGGAGATTGTTATCTGAAAATCAATTTGGAACAATTACAAAAAAAGGAAGCAATGCTTAATGTAGCATTAAATAAGTCTCATCAAAATTAGTTAAAAGCTTCTTGGATGGATGTAACTAAGGCCTGTCCTGGGTATAGCGATAAACTACATTCGCGTCTTGGGTAAGACAATAAACTACATTCAACAGCAAGGCCTCTGTTCAGGAGGTTTGAGGAACGTTGAACAACCTCTTAATTGCTATGATAGCATTTGTTAGGGTCCCAGCTACGAGCAAATAGTTGACTCCCAAATTGGGGTCAAAACACCATGAAAGTGTAAAAATAGGTTTTAATACCAGCAATACATTTTTGTATTACTGAGATAGATAGATAAAAAATATTACCAACAATGAAAATTTTGTCGGCATTAAATAACCCATTGAGGTTGATATGCCGTAAACCAAACCAAATCAATATTTACTGAGATAGATAGATAAAAAATATTACCAACAATGAAAATTTTGTCGGCATTAAATAACCCATTGAGGGTGATATGCCATAAACCAAACCAAATCAATATTTACTGAGATAGATAGATAAAAAATATTACCAACAATGAAAATTTTGTCGGCATTAAATAACCCATTGAGGGTGATATGCCGTAAACCAAACCAAATCAATATATACTGAGATAGATAGATAGATAGATAGATAGATAGATAGATAGATAGATAGATAAAAAATCTTACCAACAATAAAAACTTTGTCGGCATTAAATAACCCATTGAGGTTGATATGTCGTGAAGCAAACCAAATCAATATATACTGAGATAGATAGATAGATAGATAGATAGATAGATAGATAGATAAAAAAATATTACCAACAATGAAAATTTTGTCGGCATTAAATAACCCATTGAGGTTGATATGCCGTAAACCAAACCAAATCAATATATACTGAGATAGACAGATAAAAAATATTACCAACAATGAAAATTTTGTCGGCATTAAATAACCCATTGAGGTTGATATGCCGTAAAGCAAACCAAATCAGTATATACTGAGATAGATAGATAGATAGATAGATAGATAGATAGATAGATAGATAGATAAATAAAAAATATTACCAACAATAAAAATTTTGTCGGCATTAAATAACCCATTGAGGTTGATATGCCGTAAACCAAACCAAACGAAAGCAAGTAAGGCTTTTGATTCTGTTGTTCGTCGAGCTCTGTGCCTTTTATTCATCTGCACCGAAGAATACAACATTCATACACTAACTAAAATTTAGCTCAGTGTCATTCACACACCAACCCCCAATGGACCCCTTGACTATCATCCCCTGGAACACTTCACTAACACCTAAGGGAGTCGCTCAAACCCCGTTTGACGGCCCCTACTCTAGATCTTAGCAACCTCAGCATATGATTTTTAAATTTTTTTTTATTAAATCGAGGATTTTCACTTTTACACTTAGAGCAAACATTTTACACTTCCGCTTTGGCATACCTCATTTGTTAGCATCAATGTCATGTATTGATTATTTATGATGGTCGCCGCGGGTAACTTAAAATTTAGAAAGCAATAAGATAAGAAGAGCCGCCGTATTAACAATTTTATTTCGTCTAATTTAAAATTATAATGTTTAAGGTTCAAAAGGTTAATACTGACAAGGATTTAGGGAGATTTTGAAACATTCAACATTAACCGCTCACATTAAACATTTTTTGCTTAATAAAGATTAATATAAATAAATATTAAAAATCTAATATTAAATTTTCGAAAGATCTTTCTTTTATGTGCCGTGTCCCTTCAGGACGTGGGGAATTAAGGCTCTGGTTCATTGTGTTATTTTCTGCAGTCCATCAACCCTATTCAAAGCTAGAAAACATTTTTAGTTTGTAAGATTTTTTTTGGTGGGGGAGGAGATAATAATATAATGTAATAAATAAAAGAAAACAAGTTACCTATATTAATCAATCGATTTCTTTAACTTTCACTAAACAACATTGGTTGATTGATTTTCTACGGTTTATCAACCCTTTCTAGATCATTTAAGGCCTGTAAATATTTTTATATTGTAATAATCTTTTTTTTTTTTGAGAATACTGATTTAGTGATACGGGCTTTACTATTTAACCCATAGGTGGTGGAGAAGAGGTGAAGTCATACATTTTCCAATGGTAATTATGCGTAAGTGAATATAACAAAATCATTTGGAATTGAAACCCGGCCGTCTTTTTGACAATTCCGATCCATTATCAATTACACTACCCGCACATCCACGCTTAGAGTACCTGGTATTCCTAAACTGTCACCCATCTAGATACTGACCAGGCTCGAAGTTGATTAAACAAATCGATGCACCGAATAACAAAAAAAAAAAAAAAAACCATTAAAATTGGTAACGCATTTAACTAAACAAAAGAAAATAATGATAGAGCAAACAAAAGTATCTGAAAACCATGCCACGGGTTGACAGGGGTCTTGTGAGTGAAATTGGGTAGACGGAATTATTTGGAAGCCGTCGATGGTTGTGCTAACACCAGAAAGCTGTAACACGAGGGGAAGTAGAAAAATCAGGCGTGGCTGGCCACATATGGAGAGAGAAAGGAGATCACCGCCCTCTGTGGGATCATGTTGAGATCATAGACAAGGAACACCATTGGAAAATTCGTAAACTTAAAGAATCAGCACATATGCTAGGCCACAAAAATCTTCTGAGCCGACCAAGCATACAATATAGGAACCAGTAATAAGGAGTGCCAGAGAAAAGCAATGATAACAACAAAGTTGCAATATGAGCTCTGGTAAAACATGTAATGATAACAGCAAAATTGCAATATGAGCACTGGTAAAAATGGCTGCTGAAGACATTAGGTTTATAATACCCAGAAATTCATACCCAGATGTCCTCAAGGACACATGGCACAGTGGATAAAGGCGTTGGTTAGATCCAGTGACAGGACCCAAAGAGTGTGAGTTCAATGTGAGGGAAATTAGCAGGTGATAACTGATAACTGACATCCATCAAACATGGCACGTGGAACAAGAACAGTCTACCCCAGTTCGAAATTCGAACCACCTGAAGAAGGCCGGAGCGTACAACGGCCGAAACGTTGTGATAAATATGGCGACAAAGATGAGGACAATAGTCCGAATAATGTAAATAATAAACACAGATGTGTCTGAGTGGGTGTCTGCAACTGGGATTGGGTACCGCCCTAGTAGACAAGCATATTCGGATATAAGCGGCCGGTCATTATTATTATTAATTAACCCATAGCTGGGGGGCAGAAGAAGTGAATTCATACCTTTTCCCTAGGGTATTTGCGCGTAGGTAATTATAATGAACCAAACAGAAATTAGAACTCGGCTCTCCGATTAACAATTAACTGACTACACTACTATCAGATCCAAGCTTACAGCATCTGGTATTCCCAAGCAGTCACCCATCTAGGTACTGACCAGATTTGAAGTTGCTTAACTTTGGTGATCGCACAGGAGCTGGTGTTTGAACATGATGTAACCGTAAGCCTTCCCGATTTCGTCTCCTTTCGAACAGATGCCCTTGGGAAAGGCTTGAATTTCTCTCTTATTTCCACATATAAAAGTTAAATAGCAGGTTAGACTGGGTTTTCTAGCCTTGGTTGGCAGCCAGACTGGGAGAAAGATTACTCTGAATTCAAAGACTACAGGGAAACCTTCCATCATCTTTCTTAAGTCACAGAAATTCACATATAATTAAAAGGATTATTTATTGATTCGTTTTCTATGGTTTATTAACCATTTGCTAGTTATTTAAAGCTTGTAGCGGACTGTGAGTTTACGTGTTGTTAAATTAGAAACACGTGTGTAACTCCTGATAGAATATTAAAAGGTCCACTACTAGAATATGGCGGACTCAAGTTGAGTCCAACCGAAGATGTAAAGAAAACAAACAAGACCGATATGTATATACCACAAGTATATGTATTAAACAACAAAATTTACAAAGGACAAAGACATCAACATTTGTGTTTGTGCGTGAACGTAAAGAGTTTGTATTTTGGTGAATGTTCGTACGTACGTACGTGTATGTGTGTATAATGTTCATGGCGTCTCCCACAAGTGGGAAGACGCAATCTTCTGCGAGAGCTTACATTGTAAATGTGTTCGTTGAAAATGAAGAAATGAAAAAGAGGACGAGGCAAGAAATCGTCCAGTATTTATAGTGTAGGGAGAGCGTCCCCTAGTGAACAACTTGGAAATTAAGGAGGAGTTAACTCCGACAAGCTAGAAAATATTTTTAGACTGTAAGAATTTTTTAAAACCATAGCTAAGGGAGAAGAGGTGGATTCATACCTTTTCTCAAGAGTATTTGTGTATAACGAACCCAATTGAAATTGAAACTCGGCTCTCCGATTAACAATTCCGAGTCATAAACATTACACCATCCGCGCATTCAAACTTACAGCACCTGGTTTTCTTAAGTGATCATTCATCTAGGTACTGACTGGGCTCTATTAAAAACTTTCCACAACTTCTTATCCTTTATAGCTGTTAGTAAGGTTTCGTTTTCACTATCCCTCCCAGTCCCCGTTCTACTGGTATCTCATACCAGTGCAAAATTCACTATTCCTCCCAGTCCCCGTTCTAGTGGTATGTCATACCAGTGCAAAATTCACTATTCCTCCCAGTCCCCGTTCTAGTGGTATGTCATACCAGTGCAAAATTCACTATTCCTCCCAGTCCCCGTTCTAGTGGTATGTCATACCAGTGCAAAATTCACTATCCCTCCCAGTCCCTGTTCTAGTGGTATGTCATACCAGTGCAAAATTCACTATTCCTCCCAGTCCCCGTTCTAGTGGTATGTCATACCAGTGCAAAATTCACTATCCTCCCAGTCCCCGTTCTAGTGGTATGTCATACCAGTGCAAAATTCACTATCCCTCCCAGTCCCCGTTCTAGTGGTATGTCATACCAGTGCAAAATTCACTATTCCTCCCAGTCCCCGTTCTAGTGGTATGTCATACCAGTGCAAAATTCACTATTCCTCCCAGTCCCCGTTCTAGTGGTATGTCATACCAGTGCAAAATTCACTATTCCTCCCAGTCCCCGTTCTAGTGGTATCTCATACCAGTGTAAAATTCACTATCCCTCCCAGTCCCCGTTCTAGTGGTATGTCATACCAGTGCAAAATTCACTATTCCTCCCAGTCCCCGTTCTAGTGGTATGTCATACCAGTGCAAAATTCACTATCCCTCCCAGTCCCCGTTCTAGTGGTATGTCATACCAGTGCAAAATTCACTATCCCTCCCAGTCCCTGTTCTAGTGGTATCTCATACCAGTGCAAAATTCACTATCCCTCCCAGTCCCCGTTCTAGTGGTATGTCATACCAGTGCAAAATTCACTATTCCTCCCAGTCCCCGTTCTAGTGGTATGTCATACCAGTGCAAAATTCACTATTCCTCCCAGTCCCCGTTCTAGTGGTATGTCATACCAGTGCAAAATTCACTATCCCTCCCAGTCCCTGTTCTAGTGGTATGTCATACCAGTGCAAAATTCACTATTCCTCCCAGTCCCCGTTCTAGTGGTATGTCATACCAGTGCAAAATTCACTATTCCTCCCAGTCCCCGTTCTAGTGGTATGTCATACCAGTGCAAAATTCACTATTCCTCCCAGTCCCCGTTCTAGTGGTATCTCATACCAGTGTAAAATTCGGAAGATTAAGGTTTATAAAGTAAATATTAAGTATTCAAAAGACCGTTAAAAGCAGTAAATATTTTTGAAAATTGAAAGTTTAAATGTGTTTGTAATATTTTTCAGCAGAAACGAACAAAAGCTGGCATCAGTTGACAAAGTAACATAATAATCACCAGACATTTTGTATCAGCGAAAGAAATACCCCCCAAAAAAAAAAAAAAAAAAAAAACAAAAACAATGGAGACCTGAAGATGGGCAGAGAGTACTTATTTTTTTTTATATTTAATCATTTCACTCCAAGCAAGGCAAGAAAGCCATTAAATCCTACACTGTGTACAGTAAGAACGTTGTTCCCCTGACAACTTTTTTTGCTTTATATTGTCACAATTGATCTAGTTTAATACTATTTATTATTACTAATTCCTTATTGTGCCAAATAAGATCTACATTAAAAGAGAATTTCCTTTCTCTGCCGCATCTTGATTATTATAAATTCTATTATAGGAGTAATGAATAGCGGCTCGTATTGAGGAATCGGAGAGCCGAGTTCGAATTCCAGTCGAATCCATTACATTCACTTACGTGGGAAAGGCATGGATCCTCTTCTTCCCCCCCCCCAGATATGGGTAAATAGCAGGATAGACCGGGTTCTATAGCCTTGGATGGCAACTGGTCTACCGCAGAAAGAAATGGCAACCCACTGCGGGGGAAAAATCTGCCTGGTCATGTATCGAAAGATACATGATTGCCTAAGCGTGTATCACGTATGGCACATAACTGAATGATTATAGGAATAATGTTTCGGGCTACTAAGACAGTTGGTTCCTGCTGAAATCCAAAGAAGAATCTGCAATGATATTAGTCCTGACCTGCCATCTCAGCTTCAGTCACTTTGCCCATAACTTAACTTTGTAACGTAACCCTCCTGCACTTTTTCTATACATACTTTCACGTTAATTATTCTGCTGAACTTGTTATTTTTACCCACCAGACAAATTGTACATATGAGAACTAGTTAGGACTACATAGAGACTCTGAGGTATTTTGGTGGCTGTAGTAAGAATGGTAAGTAAGAATGTATTGTTTTGGTGTAAGGAATACTGCGGTATGTTTAGGTGGCTAGCTAAGTTTAAGATAAGACAGATTAAATATCAGCCTTCCCCCCATCCCCCCTTATGGCCTTGTACCACATTTTTGTATTTGCAAAATAAATACTGCTTTCGTCTTTGGTTCATAGATTTCATGAATTTAATCGCAGTAATAGATTGGCAGCAATGTTTCATCATTTTACAGGTTGAACCGTAAGTTCTATGCTAGAAGTTTCTTCTCTCGCTTCTGTAACTCTCTTCCAGCCAACTTTGATCTTCAAAAATTTAAATGGAATGTTAATCGTTATCTTCTCTCTTAATCCCTGTTGTTTTAGTGTTCTATCTCCTTAATAATGTTTTCTTTTTCTCATATAAGATTCTCTCACACTGAGTAACCCCCTGCGTCCTAGTGGCTTTACTGCTTTGCTTAGAGTGAAATGATTTTAAATAATGTAGAAGGTAATCTTCGACAGATTTACAGAAAACAGACGTACGCATACTTAGAATGACGTAAAATGAAAATTTCAGATATTCCATTGACGCTATATAATCTTCCAACTTCCAGAAATTGCATATTGAGTTTGTGTGAATTGATGGCAGAGCAGAGAAAAGGAGGGACGATAAAAAATAAAAGTTGTTTAGAAGTACAAGAGACAGGAAGTTGTGGAGATACATGACCGTCCATGACATGAAGGGACAAAGAAAAAATAAGAAAGAGTAAACAAATAGCAGAGCAGAGACAAGGTGAAAATGAACGCAGTAGATGTGGCCAGAATTTGAACTAGGATCGCCGTTTCCACTTTCCGTTCAAATAACTGTCACATTCAACGTTCCTACTAAAATGGATGTGCCTTACATATAGTAATTTACTGAGCTTATTTTAGATGTAGTACAAGGCCGAAAAAGTGAGGATTGATCTCGCTACTCCGTCGTAATTGATCTAGCGGGATAAGCTTGCTAACCATTATGCCACGTCGAAATACCAAACGCGCTTTACGTATATACGGCCCTTGTTCTTGTCTTGCTAGCACAATTATGACTGAGTAGTGAGTTCGATCCTCACTGGGTGCCCCATACTTTCGGCCTCGTGCCACATCTGAGCTACGCTTGGAAAATTACTATACGGCCCTTGTTTCGTCGCGCGCGCGCAAACACACTCACACACACACTCACACACGGTAAAATTGTTTTATAAATTTCACCCGACTGTAGTACCGGTTGCTCGGTCAATGAATGCGAAAAGTTTCCTTATAAGGAAACAGCGAATATATTATTCTTTTCGTTTTATGTGCCATGTCTTTTTAGGACTTTGGCAATCATGGCTTTCCACCTCCCTCTATCCATTACTGCTCTCAACAAGTACGTTCTTCCTCCAGACCCCGTTCTGTCATCCACTTACTTAAGCCCGTCAGGTATGTCACGCGTTGTTTTCCTTTGTCTCTCTTTCCCTTTATTCGACCCGTGATTATCAGATTCTCCAAGCCCGCCTTCCTCATTATGTGTCCCAGAAACTTCAGCTGCCTCTTCCTGATGTTAAGTATAAGATTCCTCCTTGTTTTCAACCTCTCTAAAACCTCATCGTTGCTGACACGCTCAGTCCATGATATGCTTAGCATCCTTCTGTAGAACCACATCTCCGTCGCCCCGAGTCTCTTCTTCATCTTTGAGGAAATTGCCCAACATTTGCTACCCAAAGAAGGACAGCTCAGTATTCTTTTCTTTGTTACCAAAGAAATCCTCTTGTCTCGCAATACTCTGCCCAACTTTTGGAATGCGTCCTTGGCCATTCTAATATGTCTAAGGATCTCGCACTTACCGTCCTCTGTCAAAGCGCTTCCCAGATATTTAAAATTCTGCGTCTGCTTGATTCTAGTTTTCCCGACTTGCAAATCGCAATTTGTTCTCATCCTTTTACTGATGACCATAAATTCTGTCTTCTTGTAGTTTATACTTAGTCCCTTCATCTCACTCTCCGTAACAACTCAGATTACCATTACAATTAACACATATTTTTTTTTTATGTACATACATATACAAAATCCGATGACAGATTTTAAGCTAACAAACAGTAAAAGATTAACAAAAAAGATAATAATAAAATTATAAACAGTATAAAATGTGCAGATGGTGTAACGAATATTGGCGCAAAAAATGGGATCGGTGGTCCGAGTTCAATCCTCACAATAGTCTATTGCATTCACTTTCACACAAATACCCTTGGGGAAGGCATGAATCCATCTCTTCTCTTCTCATCGCTGGCTTAAACAGCAAGGTAGACTGGTCTCCACAACTTTGGGTGGCACCCAGTCTGAGATAGAAATCTCTGAACTGGAAACTGTAGAAAAAGCAACGTGAAACTACTTCACTATCTTTCTCAAGAATGTATGACAATTCTGCAGATAATAAAGGAAAGAAATGTGTGGAGAGCCGTGACTGTCTGCACCATAGTGAGAATATAAAATAAAAAACATAATATATGAATAATGTAATGGTTGTCGATGAGAAAAGAGAAATCGACGGGCCGAATTCAAATTCTAGTTTAATCTGTTCACTTACGCACAACTACCCTCGGAAAAGGCATGAATCCATCTTTTCTCTCTCCACCAGGTTATGGGTTAAATCAGACATGGACAACCATTTTCGAACAGTGGGCCGCATAGGGCACAGTTCCTCATAAGGCGGGCCGCACTACTAAAAAAATCCAGGTAATTTTTCATTAAAGATATCGTGTATACTCGTGTATAAGTCGACTTTATGTATAGTGAGACCCCTGAATTTTTTTTTAAGTCTTCCAGAATTTTTTTTACCTGTGTATAGTGCAAAATGCATGATTTTTAATCTTTTCAATAAAATTACTTGTGTATAGTACGGCTCCGTAATTCCGTATAAAAAGCTGATCGTAAAAATTGATCGAGTATATACGGTATGTCACTTAAATGAATTATTTCACAGAGATTGTTAGAATTACTGCTTTTGTGCTTTGTGAAAATTATTAATATCATCTATATTATTAATTTAATATTATCTAATTATTAACATTATTAGGTAAAATTGTTGACCTTGAGTAAATGAAATCGGGGTAAACGAATCTACAGATAAAAGTGTGTGTGTGTGTGTGTGTGTGTGTGTGTGTGGCAATGCATTTAAATATTGGATACATTTTTGAATTTACCTTTTTTTTTTGTTATTTTTTAATCATTTCATGTCAAGCAAGGCAGGAGTGCCACTAGTATGCGGAGGCGGGTACAGGGAGTGAAAGTGAGAGAAAAGGCGTATATAGGGAGGATTGATCAAAGGACAAATGATGTACGGGATTCAAGAAGATGGCGATTGACGTTGCATTTTAACTTTTGAAGATCGTAGTTATCAGGGAAGCACGTAAGCGGAAGAGAGTTCCACTGGTGGGGAGTGCGAGAAAAGAAACTGTTGGAGCAGAAGTGGCGGTTGTATTCAGCTATTTCAGCAGTAAACAGATGGGACCTAAATGCCAATCTAGTAGCATACTTGTAGTCGGGGCACCGGGGAAAAAAGCTCGTCAGAGCTGTTACCATGAAAATATTTGTAGAAAATACAAAGGAAAAAACCTCCCATCGGTGAGAAAATGACTGAAATCGAGATGCCGGACCGAATATATCCTATTTGGAAATGCTTCAACTCAAAACTAAACTTCCGAAATATATCTTGACTTAATAAGAGTAGTTCAGACGTGGCCCCAGGCAGCAACTATGAGGTACCCAGTGAGGATCAAACTCATTATTCACTCAGTCGTAAATGACTTAGCGAGATAAGCTTGCTAATCATTAAGTCAAGTGTTCAGTTCTGAAATACATAGAGATTTACTAAGCGTAGCCTCGATGTGGCACAAGGACGTTAGCATGCAGCACCCAGCAAGGATCGAACACACTACGCGGTCGTACTTAAATCTAGCGAGATGAGCTAGCCATTACACCACATCGAAGTACCCATAGTCCCGAAATATAGCGATTTACTAAGCGTTGCTTAGATGTAACACAAGGCCGGATGTATGGAGCACCCAATGAGGATCGAACTCACTATTCAGTAACTGCCCTAGCGGCATAAGCTTGCTACCACTTACACATCGAAGTGCTCCCAGTTCCGAAATATGTTGATTTATTAAGCATAGCTCAGATATAGAAAGGAGCACCCAGTGAGGATCGAACTCACTATTCAGTAACTGACCTAGCGGCATACGCTTGCTACCACTTACACATCGAAGTGCTCCCAGTTCCGAAATATGTTGATTTATTAAGCATAGCTCAGATATAGAAAGGAGCACCCAGTGAGGATCGAACTCACTATTCAGTAACTGACCTAGCGGCATACGCTTGCTACCACTTACACATCGAAGTGCTCCCAGTTCCGAAATATGTTGATTTATTAAGCATAGCTCAGATATAGAAAGGAGCACCCAGTGAGGATCGAACTCACTATTCAGTAACTGACCTAGCGGCATACGCTTGCTACCACTTACACATCGAAGTGCTCCCAGTTCCGAAATATGTTGATTTATTAAGCATAGCTCAGATATAGAAAGGAGCACCCAGTGAGGATCGAACTCACTATTCAGTAACTGACCTAGCGGCATACGCTTGCTACCACTTACACATCGAAGTGCTCCCAGTTCCGAAATATGTTGATTTATTAAGCATAGCTCAGATATAGAAAGGAGCACCCAGTGAGGATCGAACTCACTACTCAGTCGTAATATGATTGAGCTAGAAAAAGCTTGCTAACCATTGCACCATGTCGAGGCAGACCCAGTCCCGAAATATATTGATTTACTTAACGTAGATTAGATTTGGCACACAACCAAAAGTATGGAGAACCCGGTAAGGATCGAACTCACTACTCAGTCGTAATTGATCTAGCGAGGTAATCATTACATAAAGTGTTCAGTTCTAAAGTACACAGAGATTTACGAAGCATAGTTTCGATGCGACACAAGTTCATTAGCATGTGGGACCCAGCAAGGATCGAACACAATACACAGTCGTAACTGATCTAGCGAGACAATCTTGCTAATCATTACACTCAGTCGAATACCCCTAGACCTGAAATATAGCGATTTACTAAACGTTGCTTAGATGTGGCACAAGGCCGCATGTATGGTGCACCCAGTGAGGATCGAACTCATTACTCAGTCGTAAATGTTCTAGCGAGACAAGCTTGCTAACTATTACACTGCCTCAAGGTGCCCTATAGTGATTTTGCTACCCCTTACATTACATCGAAGTGCCCTTAGCTCCGAAAATATATTGATTTACTAAGCGTGGCTTGGATACGGCCTAGGTTCGCAAGTATGAGGCACCCTGTGAGCATCGAACTCACTACGCATTCTTAAGCTTGCTAACGATTACACCACATTGAAGGACATCAGTCTTGAAATTTATCGATTTACTAAGCGTAACTTAGATGTGGCACAGGGTTGAAAGCATGGAGCACCCTGTGAGAATCGAACTCGCTATTCAGTCATAACTGACCTAGCGAGATAAGCTTGCTAATGATTATATCACGTTGAAGTGCCCCCAGACCCGAAATATATCTGAACGAAATTACTTACCTGTTGCAGACGACTCGAAAACGATGACAAAATATTATTAATGCTTTTTCTTTCTTTCATTCATTAATTCTTCTTCTGTCTCCGTTTTTCTTCCTAATTCGCTTTATTTCGCGTTCGTCAGTTATTTCCATCCATTTTGTTTTGCTTCTTCCACCGAACGCCGTAGCCAGTCCGTTCCTAACTTCTCGATAACTGAACACTGGTCGGTAGAGTGAACCACTTCAATAGTCACAAGGAAAAAGAAAAAAGAAAGAAAGAAAGAAAAACATGTCGATAAAGTGAGTAATCCCCTTTGAATACCTTCGACCGTTTGTCTTCTCTCTTTCTCTCTCTCTCTTTCTCTCTCTCTCTCTCTCTCTCTCCGTTCTGGGCAGCTCTATTTTATAGTCTTACATTTGGGCTGTTTTCATCTCTACAACACCTGTTCAATATATTTCTATCAGTCGAGGCTTGGCAGGTAAGTAAGAGGGCGAGAAGGGGTGCTGCATGGAGACACGAGAATGTTAAGTAATTATTTATTGGCTGTTTGCATATCAACGCAAGTATATAATATTAATTTACGCTTATATATATATATATATATATATATATATATTTCTCTCTGTGTGAATAATATTGCTTGTACGTGTGTGGGTATAATAAAGTAAGAAACAGTCGAAAGAACACGTGAGAGAGAGAGAGAAAGGGAGAGAAAGAATGAGAAAGAGAGAAGAGAGAGAAAAAGAAAGAGCGAGAAAGAAAGAGAAATAGATAGAGAGGGAAATAGAAAGAGAGAGAAAAGAAAGGGAGTGAGAAAAGAGAGAGGGTGGGAGAGATAAAAAGAGAGAGAGAAAAAAGGAGCAAGAAAGAGGGAGAGAGAAAGAAAGAAGGTGAGAGAGAGCAGAGGGAGAGAGATCAAGAACGAGAAAGAAAAAGAGAGAGAAAAGAGTGAAATAGAAAGAGGAAGAGCGTGAGAAAAGAGAGAGAGGGAAAGGTAAGAGAGAGAGAGAAAGAGAGGGAGAAAGCGAGAGAGAAAAAGGAGAAAAAAGAGGGAAAGAGAAAAAAAGAGTGAGAGAGAGAGGAGAGAGAGAGAAGAGAGAGAGAGAGAGAAAGAAAGAGAAAAATAGAGAGAAAGAAAGAGAGAGAGAGAAATTGAGAGAGAGAGAGAGAGAGAGAGAGAGAGAGAGAGAGAAAGAGAAAAGAGAGAGAGAGAGAGAGAGAGAGAGAGAGAGAGAGAGAGCGAGATACAGGAAGTGGAGATTTGATAACAATTACGAAACACGGGAGAAGGAGCCGGCATTCAGATTTCGAGTTCTGGCTGCGGTTGTTTTGTTTCTCTCAGCACCAATGGTAATGCAAAAGATAAAATCAACCGTTTCCCTATAAGGCAACATTAGGCGTTATTTGATCGAACAGTCAATGCTTATATCGGTTGAAAATTATAAAATCTTTTTATTTAAATTTAATTTTCAGGAAATTAGAGTTCCCAAGTTCACTAAATGTTATCAACGCGGATCCCATTAGAGACACCATAGATACAGCAGCGGTAGTGTGGCTAGAGAAAAATAGACTGACGGAAATAATACCTCTTCAGAGTGGTTTTGAATTCAGTTTTCCTTCTTTCAGACTGGTTGTTACACCCAAAAGCAGAAGAGCCTAATCTGCTCTGTTATTTAACCCATATCAGGGGGAACGTGCAGTCATGACTTTTTGAAAGGCATTAGCATGAAATGAACGAAGCTGTATCACTTGGAATTTGTACTCGCTTTTTATAACCTGCACGTGCCTCCAATCCACTAAATGTTATAGCTCTTTCTAATACTGGGATTTTTCAGCGCGACCACGTCGCTACTGAATGTGACACAGAGTCGAGATTTAAAGTGGGTTTAATGGCAATACCGTGGGAAAATTACCCAATCGGAGAGCCGAGTTCGAATTCCAGTCGAATCCATTCACTTACGTGCTAATACCCTTGGGAAAGGTATGAATCCTCTTCTCTCCTCAGCTATGGGCAAATAGCAGGACAGACCTGGTTCTATAGCCTTGGATGACAACTAGCCTACTGCAGAAAGAAACGGCAACCTACTGCGGGAAAAAATCTGCCTCGTCAGTCATGTATCAAAAGATACATGATCACCTAAGCGTGTTTCACGCATGGTATAAAACTGACTGACTGGTTGAATGGTAATTGTTCTGATGAATTCTTCACTAAATGAATATAAGATTGGCAACAAGGTCTCATCAATTTACAGTTGAAATGTCTTCATGTAACTGTAAGATCCACAGTTTCTTTTCTCGCACTTCTCGCTTGTGGAACTCTTTTCCGACTTCTTGCCTTTAGCCAATTTTCAAAAATTTAAATGCAATCTCAATCGTTATCTACTGTCTTTTTGATTCCTCTTCTTTCTATTGTTTTCGCTCTTCAATAATGCTTTTCTTTTTATAATATTTTTAACGTTCAGTAACCCTTTTTATCTTAGTGGCCTTATTGCCTTGCTTAGGGCGAAGTGATTAAAAAAATATCAAGACCCCGATGTACTTGAAGAGTTTAGAATTTATTAATTTTGTAATTTTAATTTTTAGGATGCATTCAGGGTCGCTTATATCATTGCTTTCATTTCACTTTCAGATTATAATTTCTGTTTTAGAAACATTTGCTATAGAATGTCGATCTTCAATACACTAAGAAAAAGTATGAGACAGTTTCGTCTTTCGCTTTGTCTTAAATCCATAATGCAAATCCTGGGCCTTCTCACTCTTGTTAGGTGGAACAACTCCCAGTTTGACCGTACTCTTCACGCTTTTTTCACTTGAGGGTTGGTGAAGCTATTTAATCCATACTTAGGGTGGATGACCTTTAACCCTGGGGAATTCATCTGCCCTTTAACAGTTCCTGTTTTTCGTGCTGCTGGAGTTCCACTTACCCTTTTAACCAGACCAGTGTCTGACGAGGGAGCTGGTTTAGTTACTGACCACTCAGGTTTTGAATTCAGCGTTGTCCTTCTGCTTGACCGGTCACCACCCAAGGCTATAGGACCCAGTCTGCCCTGTTATTTACTCATAGCTGCTCTGGCAATAGGACATATCGCCAGAGCAACTATGACTAAATATTTTGAACGTGTGATTGATAGCATGCTACGGTGGATGACAAGAAAAGTAAGTGACTATATAATTTTTTGGCTGTAATCATAAAGGTAACAAGCTAATTCTGTTTCTGGTGACATTTGAAATGGAATTTGAACTAGTATCTTATTATTTGGGAAGTAATAAAAAAATCGTAGAAAATTTCAATATATTATCTCATTTGTATAGAATTTTCTTAATTTGGCGGGAAAACACGTTTTTTTTCTCTTTGATGTCCTTTGGTGAAACGAAGTCAACCCTTATCCGAGGTCAAACTTACAGAATATATCAAAAATAGATTTCTTGTGAGCCTTCATGTAAAAAAATAGGTTAATGGATCTTGTCGTTTGAACATGATCACAGCACGGATACAATCATAACTATCTTACCATATACTCAGTGACAATAGTCAAATAACTGTTATACTCATTGATTTGGTTTTGGTTTGTTGTGTTTTACGGCATATCAACCTCAATGGGCAATTTAATGCCTACAACTTTTTTCTTCATAATATTTTGTTTTGTCAAAAATCTATTTCTGGTAATATTTTTTCCTTAAAAAATGTATGGCTGGTAATAATTTATTGTTTTCAAAAAAGTATTGCTGGTAATATTTTTTTCCTCAAAAATGTATATTCGGGGTTAACTATTTGCCCATAGCTGGGACCCTAACAGGCGCTACCACCCCGGGTCAGGGTGTACCTGGGAACACCAGCAATTAAGAGGTTTGTTCCACACTCCTCAAAACCTCCTGATCAGAGGCCTTGTCGCTGGACGTAGTTTATCGTATTAACCTGAACGCGGATGTAGTTTATCGTCATACCCAGGACGGGTTATACTGATTGGCTACAATGAATATATATATATATATATATATATATATATATATATATATATATATATATATATATATATATATATATATATATATCTGTGTGTGCGTGTGTGTTTATATGGTCTGGTGTGTGTATGAGTGCTTATATTTTTTATTTTGATTTTGTTTACGGAAGTTTTTCTTTCATAAAATGTGTTTAAAATGGATTCTATTCGTTACCTAGTGGAAATAGCATAAAATATAACAAGACAGAAAAATACGTTCTGTAATATATTTGATCTTACTCATCAAAACATATAAAGAAAAAAATGCATATAAAAAAGTAATTAACTAGAAATGAAATACTAATGCATAAAATAAAACATGATTTAGTCCATCAGTTTGAGAGCGCTTCTGGTAACACAACGTTATTGTCACTTTTGAATCTAGTTTTCATGAGAGAAGACTTTTCGCCTTAAAGCCTTTTGCAGCGATCAAAAACGGTAATAATCAATCGATGAAAGATCAATTGAATATGTCCAACTGTATTTCAATTTTTATCCTGTGTTGTTCTTGCTGTATGCGGCCTTGCATTGTCAGAGTGGAGATTTCCGTATTGCCGAGCACAGGGCGATTTATAACTGACTATTTTATCGACACGTTACAGCTGCCGGATGCACAAATGTGTATTTCGCGTTTCATTGCGTTTTAAGAACGCTAACAGAATACCACGACGACCCCATCACACGCGCAAGATTACCTTTCTTCCATAAGGCTTAACATTTGATGTTAGTTGAGGAGATTTATCCCGGTCCAGCCTTTTGCATTGAACATTGTTTTATGCAACCCATTTTTCATCACTCTTTTTTTTACATTAAGGTTCATCCTGTATAATTCCACTCGAGGTAGTTATATTAACAGGCAGTTTATATGGATAGGAGAGGAAGATAACGGTTAACCCTAGACATGAACACGTTAAGATTGTACTGATCGGGGAAACATCGTCTTGGCATTAAACATTGTTTTATGCAACCCATTTTTCATCACCCTTTTTTTACATTAAGGTTTTATGAACACGTTAAGATTGTAGTGATCGGGGAAACATCGTCTTGGCATTAAAGATTGTTTTATGCAACCCATTTTTCATCACCCTTTTTTTACATTAAGGTTTCATGAACACAAGATTGTAGTGATCGGAGAAACATCGTCTTGGGAGTCTGTTCCACAGAGCAGTGTTTCACGGGAAGAAACTGTTTGAGTGGAACTTCTCACCAATGGAATACAGAGGGAATGTGAATGTTTTTGCTACAATGTAAGCGGCATGTCGGATCCAAGCCGTGAAGTGTTCGAACTGGCGGAACCTAGGAATGTAGTTCGTTCGAGCCATTTTCATGGAAATAGCAGTCAGAGGCTTGTCACATATCGCCTGTCAGAGAGAGGTTGGAAGGTGAAAAATAATTCGTCATCCACATGAACTCGGAGACGCTTTTGAACTCTATCGTGATTGGAAAGTGAGGACTGGGCAGCTCCCTCCCATATATGACAATTGTACTCCATTTTCGGTCTTATCTGGCTCTTGTAAAGGTAGAGGATAGCAGGAGGAGTCAGATACTTCCTGAAGCAGCACAAGGAGCCGAACATCTGTATCGATGGATCGTATGTAAGAGTTCAACTTGAGGTCAGGTGTGAATTTAAGGCCCAATAGTCTCTTAAGGCATAGTGCCTTCCTGAGGGGACATCCGTTCATTGTGACTAGCGGTAATTCGGAGTCCGATCTTCGATGATTGAATATAACTAGTTTGGTTTCCGAGGCATTGCATGTAACCAGCCCCCCCCCCTACTGAGACGTTAGTGCTACATCGGATTGGAGACTAGCTGCCAATGTCACATCATCAAGCGTTTTAGAGCTGCACTCGTAGATTATCGAATAATCGGTATAGATATTTACAAATGATCCGAATATATTCTTTGACAGATCATTTATGTAAATAAAAAAAAAGAATTGGTCCAAGAAGTGATCCCTAGAGTATGCCTGCGTTGAGAGCCAGGGCCTTGGGGGACTGGCCGTCAATAACTACCTTCAGGGATCTACCTGTTAGGAAGGACACTTCCAGGGATTCTATAACTGGAAAGCTTGTGTAGGAAACATTTGTGCCACACCATGTCAAAGGCCTTCGAAATATCTAATGCTATGGTTTTCGATGTATGTTTGTCGTCAAGAATCTCACTAAATCTGTGTGTAATAGTAGTTAGGATGTCAGCAGTGGATCGGGCCGTTCGAAACCAGTACTGCTCGTCGCTCAAAAAGTTGTTCTTATCTAGGTAATTGTTAACCGTGTTTATTATAGCCTCAAAAAGCTTATTGATGATACTGTGGAAAGTGATGAGTCTTTACTGGGAAGGGAGAAGATCGCTCGTTCGCGTTCTTGAAGACTGGGCATAGGCTTGACACCTTGGACGGGCCTGTGAAAGATTTCTCCTTCAAGTAGCGGTTGGATAACTTGTTATGATGTGTTTAAAGAGCGGTTATTTAGGATGATACGTCATTATAACCGGTTTTCCAAAACGGAAATTACTTAGTTAACCTAATATAAACTTGTAATATTAGTATAGATGAATTAATATTATCGCAGTTGCTATTATATTATTTCATGACATTATCCTCAAAGCAGTATTGTTGCAAATATTCAAATAAAAAAAATTACCGTCTAGTTTCTGATATTTTAATGATAGTTTCAAAATTTATTGTTTTTTTTGTTTTTTTTTAACAAGAGTAGAAATCTCTCTGGAGAATACATGTACGGATATATATATATATATATATATATATATATATATATATATATATATATATATATATAATTATTTATTTAAAAATATGATTCCAGTTTTCATGAAAAAACTACACGTTTCTAAATAATAAAAATCTATTAAACAATAGAGAGGAGTTGACGGTTTTTTTGCCGACATCATCAAATTTCTGCATTGAATAATTAGCATAAACAAACAATAAAATAATTTTTAAATTCCATAGTCCTAATAAATACAGTGTAACCCGGATATAAGAGACCCGGATATAAGAGAAACCCGGATATAAGAGATTTTCTCTGGTCCCAAATTAGAGCCTGTGTTAATGTATATAATATAGACCAAACCCAGATATAAGAGAAACCCGGATATAAGAGACTTATTCTCCGGTACCGACAACTCTCTTATATCCGGGTTACACTGTAGTTTAAATCCCATACAAAAAAGATAACCCTTTATGAAGTCGTCAAAAAACAAATGTTAGCGATTTACGACAGTTTTTATATACACAAAACCCTTTCAGAAAAAAATAAAAAATAAAATAAAAAAATAAATAAATCTCCATAGACACTCAACCAGACTAGACGATGTCATCTTCCGCTTTAAATTTAGACACCCCCAACCTTACCCTAACTTGAGATCTGTGAATGTAACTGAGATATTGATACAAATTATTAACACCTTACGCCCCTTTCCTTTAAACAATTGCTCTAGCCGTTACCATAGAAAATTTGATTTCAATAATGAATATGCTTATAAAACACGTAAATTTCAGAAATAAGTTATTCCAAAAAAATTTCGCTTGAAGATGGAACAGAGCTTAGTACTTTAATTCAATTTAATTCAAATAATTATATTGAAGTTTTCGGCTCTTGTTTTGAAACATGAGAACTCTTATGTAGCGTGTTGAACTCATATTTTAAATAAATAATTATATTTATGCTCTACTTTTGTATCGAGCACTATTTTTTAAAAATAATAACAAAAATACTAAAGAACTTTGGATTATTTACCTAACGAGTTCTTTCCTATTTTCTATATATTTTTCATATATATATATATATATATATATATATATATATATATATATATATACTTCATTGCCTGGTGTATTCAGGTATGTGTTTGGTGATATCAGGCGTTTGGGATTCTTGTCGTTTCTTTTATCCCTGGACATATAGAAGAACAAAAAGGGTGAGGGAGAATGCTGCGGGCCACCTACTTGACGAGTTTGTATCAATATATGGCGGAAGGTTGTAGAGACCCAGGGTGACAACATCCTGAAGAGACACTACACATAGAAGAAGTTGAAAGGTTCTTGACCCGATCAACTTTCCAAAATCTGATCAAATGACCAAATATATATTTATTAATTATTTTAATTTTTAGGGCGTCTTGGTTATGCCGAGAACTTTTCATAACACCTACCCCGCTGTACATGGGCAAAGAGAAACATATATGGGTCCTTTGCTTTCTTTAGCATGATCTTGATTATTTTCACTCCTGCTCCTTTGCCTAGGAAAAATCTTAAGCCATTCGTATTGAGCTATGTGTGAAAATCCCAGATTTTTTATTTACTGATATTCCACCAAATAAAAGGCCCAAGGGCCACTCAAAGTAGGTAGTTGCCGAGGGAGATTGTAAGGGATGGGGAAGTAAGTGTATTATGAGGACTATGATAGATATCGGTTGACCCTGAACCCTGAAGAGTCCAAGATTGTAGTTGTTAGGAAAGCATCCGCTCGGGAGTTTGTTCCACAAAGTAACAGTTCTTGGGAAGAAGCTAAGTTTTTTTTTGCAGTGATGTTTACCCTGAACAAGGCCCGAGGGCCAGTCGAGGTAGAGGATTACAGAGTAAGAAGCAGTTTATACGGATAGGAGAAGATGATAACGGTTGACTCTAGACATGAACAGGTTAAGATTGTAGTGATTGGGGAAACATCCTCTCGGGACACTGTTCCACAGGGCAGTGGTTCGCGGGAAGTAGCTGTTTGAGTGGAACTTCTTGGAAGTTGAATACTGGAGTGGAATACGGAAGTAATGAGCATGACATGCCGGGTTCAAGCCGTGAAGGTCAGAACTGGTGAAACTAAGGAATGCAGTTCGTCCGAGCACTTTCCATCGAAGTAGCGATAAAAGCATTGGGAAGCTTGACACACCCTGTCTTTGAGAGAGGGGTTGCAGGGTGGAAAATAATTCGTCACCCACAAGGACGCAGAGACGTTTTTGGACTCTATCGAGACTGGTAAGTGAGGACTGGGCATTTGTCTTGCATCTTTAACGATGGATCGTATATACGAGTTCCACTTCAGGTATGGGGTGTGTTTAAGGCCCAATAGTCTTTCACGGAGCCTCCCGGAGCGAACATCCATTCATCGTAGCTGGGGGTGGAACTTGCGTTTTATCAAAGAAACACTAAGGGAATGAGGATAATTTGCCACCGTGAATTCGGTATGGCGGGCCCTAGCTATGATGGTCCGAGCTGGTGGCGCTAACTCGTTCAAACTCGTCTGAATTGGTACAGGTTTAAGCTCGCCAAATCGACAAGGCTTACAGACATATCACGTTCAAACACAAGTTCCCATACGTGTGCCGAAGTTAAGCAACGTCGAGCCTGGTCAGTACCTAGATGGGAAACCGCTTGGGAATATCAGGTGCTGTAAGCTTAGATCTATAGGTGATGTAATGGATAACGGCACGGAATTTTTAATCGGAGAGCTGAGTTCCAAATATGTGTGGGTTCATTATATTCATTTACGCGCAAATACACTTGGGAAAGGTATGAATACACCCTTTCTCCCCCCCAGCTATGGGTTAATTAGTAATAATGATGACTGGCTCTCGTATTCAAGTATACTTGTCCCCTAGAGTGACTAGCCAATCCATGTTGCAGACGCCTACTCAGTCACATTTGTGTTTGTCCAACACCCATAGAGCCCACCTGAGGTCTATACTGCAACTTTGCCGGGTGAACCTTGGTTACAGTTTCTGGGAGAATAGCGCATTCTGGCGTGATTAACAGTAGGAAAAAGACCAGTACGCTCACAACCTCGGTCATGATGACTTGTGATTTCGTGCTAGCACAACTATCAACGGCTCTCAAATAGTTCCGTCTAACCGATTTCACTCACAAGGCTTTGGTGAAACCATGGTATGTTTTTCAGGCATTTTAAAAAAGGTGCCGCAAAATGGGATTTCCTTATCCCCAGGCCGAAAACATCAAGGTCACCTTCCAGACAAATCCACCATAGTGAGATTTGAACCCAGGTCTCGTTGGCACATCGACTAGTGTTTAGAACGTTCGCTTTCCAACCATTATTATCTCCCCACCCAAGAGCATAATTACACTCTAAAGATACATTCTGGCTTTAAACAACCTGTAAAGGGTTGATAAGCCGTAAAAAACGAATCAGCCAATCAATTAATTACTGATACACAGTATTAAATACATAGGCATGTCTCTTAAATTTACTTACACTCTCTGGAATATAAATGTATGGAAACTACTCTGGCCACAAAGTGAGGGATCATTTTATATATTAATTGTAATAAAGAATTGATCCCCCACTTCATATACACATTATAATTTCTTATTTGTTTATCAAGTTTTGATTAGCTATAAATACACCTCTTCACCTTCCGTTATGGGTTAACTTGTAAGTTTTGAATTACTAAATCGTTTTTATCTTCCCACTTATTTGATTTAAGTAACCTGCAAAGGATTGATAAACCGTGAGAAACTAATCAGCCCATAAATCAATCAAAAGAAACAGCAAATTCTTTTGAATTGAATTGGCTTTCTTAATCTTTTCTCAGTATCACTAGTACTTCATGTTTGGCAAATATAAATTCCAGGCATTCTATTAGTGTTCTGGTATTAGGTGAACTCAGCCGAGAAATCTCTACATATTTGGTAAAATAGTTAACGATTACAATATACGTTCGATCATTTAACTCGAATAAATACGAATCTATGGTATGTCATAGTCTTGGTGGGAGTGTTACAGTTCTCCACCAAATCTTTTATTTGACTAGGTAACCCTGGCCACCAGACTGATTGGCATGCTCGTTATCGGTACTTGGTAATTCCTTGGTGACCAGAGTGGATCCCGCAGATTATCATTTGCCTCGACGACTGGGAGATTGATGACGCGCGTTCCATACATTAATAGGCCTTTGTTGTCGCATGTTATGTTCCTTTGACGGGTTAAATATAGCTTGACCAATATTGGGATCTGTTCCTTTAGGGGGCCAATCGCTTTGACATATTTACTTATGCTGTCACATATGTCATATTTGCTTGTTGCTTCTCTTTACTTCTGACAAGTTCTCTGCCTCGATCCGTTGGCACTTTGCCAGACGAGGATCTGAATAAGACATCAGCGGTGTACAACAATATGATGGATATTGTAACTGAATCTCATCAGGCGAACACAAAATCTCTGTACACCGTCTGGTAGTTCATTATTACCTTTATTGTTTATTAGTAGTACTAGTAGTGGTTACACATTTATAAGTCTATCATTCCTCCATTCATTGAATATTGCTGCCACGTATGATCTGGTGCTTCTGCTATGTATTTAGAGACTCTTGATAAAATACAAAGAAGAATCTGCAATGTTATCGGTCCTGACCTGGCATCTCGGTTTCAGTAATTTTCCCATCACTGTAACGTAGTTTCCCTATACATTTTCTATACATATTTCCATGAGAATTGTGGTGACGAGCTTTCCTATTTGATAGCTAGACTTTACGAAATTAAGCGCAGTAACTCGGTCTCATCATTTTGTAGTTGAAATGGTTAAATTTAATCGTAAGTTCAATGCTAATAGTCTCTTCTCTTGCGCTTATAGCTTAAGAAATTCTCTTGTGGCTTCTTGATGTTCATTTTTTTTTCGTGATAGTCACCATTTAGATGTCCAGGAGGCCACTTGACGTAAAGGCTTATGGTAGGAGGTAATTTGTGTGTATAGGTGTATAGATAACGATTAACCCTAACCTTAAATAAGTGTATAAATAACGATGAACACGAACCGTGAATAGATGTATAGATAATGAGTAACACTAGCCTTGAATAAGTGTATAGATAACGATTAACTCTTGCCTTGCATAAGTGTATAGATAACGATTAACTCTTGCCTTGAATAGGTGTATAGATAATGTTTAACCCTATCTTTGAATATGTGTATGGATAAAGATTAACCCTAGTCTTGAATGTGCGTATAGATAACGATTAACTCTTGCCTTGAATAAAAGTATGGATAACGATTAAGAATAGCCTTGAATAGGCGTATAGATAACGATTAACCCTAGCCTTGAATAGGCGTATAGATAACGATTAACTCTTGCCTTGAATATGCGTATAGATATCGATTAACTCTTGCCTTGAATAAGTTTATAGATAATGATTAACCCTAGCCTAGACTAGGTGTATAGATAGCGATTGACAATCAGCCTTGGTGTATATATAACGATTAACACTAGCCTTGAATAGGTGTATAGATAACGACTAATCTTAGCATTGAATAAGTGTATAAATAACGATTAACCGTAGCCTTGAATAGGCGTATAGATAACAATTAACTCTTGCCTTGAATAAGTGTATAGATAACGATTAACCCGGGCCTTGATTAGGTGTATAGATAACGGTTAATCCTAGCCTCGAATACGTCTATAGATAACGATTTACGCAAGCCTTGAACAGGTGTATTGATAACGATTAACCCTAGCCTTGAATAGGTGTATAGATAGCGATTGACAACTAGCCTTCAATAGATGTATACATAACAATTGACCATAGCCTTGAATAGGTGTATAGATAACGATTAACCCTAGTCTTGAATAGGTGTATAGATAACGATTATTTCTTGCGTTGAATAAATGTATAGATAACAATTAACTCTAGCCTTGAATAGGCGTATAGATAACGATTAACCCTAGCCTTGAATAGGTGTATAGATAAGGATTAACTGTAGCCTTGAATAGGTGTATAGATAACGATTAAACCTTGTCTTGAATAAGTGTATAGATAACGATTAAGCCTAGACTTGAATAGGTCTATAGTTACTGATTAATCCTAGCTTTGAATATGTATATAGATAACCATTAACCCTAGCCTTGAATAAGTGTATATATAACGATTAACTTTAGCCTTGAATAGGCGTATAGATAACGATTAACCCTATTCTTGAATAGGTGTATAGATAACGATTAAGCTTAGCCTTGAATAGGTCTATAGTTACTGATTAATCCTAGCCTTTAATATGTGTATAGATAACGATTAATTCTTGCCTTGAGTAAACGTATAGATAACGATTAACCCTAGTCTTGAACAGGTGTATAGATAATGGTTAACCCTAACCTTGAATAGGTGTATAGATAACGATTAACTCTAGCCTTGAATAGGCGTATAGATAACGATTAAACCGACCCTTGCATAGGTGTATAGGTAATGATTAACTCTAGCCTTGAATAAGTGTATAGATAACGATTAACCCTATCCTTGAATAGCCGTATAGATAGCGATTAACGCTAGCCTTGAATATGTTAAGATTGTAGTAATCGGGAAACATCCTGCTGGTAGTCGATTCCACTGGGCAGTTGTTTGTGGGAAGAAGCTGCTCGAGTAGAAATTCTCACTGATGGAATATGGGGGAAATATGGGTGGTTTGCTACTATGGATATGGCATGGCGAGTCCTAGCCGTGAAGGTTAACCTTGGCGGTGATTGTAGTTAGTCTGAGCAATTTCCATGGAAGTAGCGGTGAAGCAGCGCCAGGCATGCTACGTCCTTCCTGTGGGAACGGCGTTGAACGTTGGAGAATAATTCGTCGCTCAGACGGGCTCGTTTTTTTTTTATTGCTCTCTCTCTCTCCTTAATAATGTTTTTCTTTTCCTCATATTCTCTCACACTTTGTGTCTTAGTGGCTTTATTAATTTACTCGAGATGAAATTATTATTTTTTAAAAAGGGCTTTATGGTCCGTCACAATTGTGAATTCCAATCCGATGATGTACTTTGAGAATCGTTCGCAACCCAAAGTTATGGCTAAAGGTTGTTTCTTAGTCGATGCGTAGCGTGTTTCTGTTTCTGATATGATATTTGATCAATACGCTACATGATATAAATTCATATCTGTCTGGTACCGTGATAGTAATATTACCGTTCTCTTTGTTGGGCTGTACAATGAAAATACTGGTGCCGAATAGAAGGCAATTTTATGGGGTTGAGGACCTTTTTTTGGTTTGCTCTCCCGTGGCGCGTCGTCATATCTGTTAAATTCTGAATTAACTTTCCTATCTGGTTCAGCATTCTCAAGAATCTCCGGGTTTCCTTTATAGTGGTCGAGGCTGAGAAGTTATACTCTGGCAACTCTAGGTCGCAGGTCATTAATAGTAAGAATATGTCCTAAAAACTTCAATGTCCTGGCCACCAGATTGATTGACATGCTCGTTATCGGTACTTTAACATTTTTGTAAATTTCTGTTTATCACAGTATATAGACACACATTTGGAAAAATACAGGAAAAAAGTCTTTGTATACATAGGGTTCTTTGCTATCCGCTGAACACATATCCCTCCCGCGGATAAGCAGGGACGACTATAGTTGGCAGATCGGAAACCATTTCCATCACTCTATTACACACAATGTTTTTTTCTCTTAATTATATTTTCTCGGGTCAAGGTTATTATGGCTTAACACCTGAAGAATTGGAAGAAACCATCAAGGAAAAAATGTTAAAGAATTAAAATATGTACGGACAGAAGGCAGAACATACGGAATCACTTGGTTAAAACAGTTTTTGAAACGAGTAAATAGAGGTCGAGTAATTATACCGAAACTAAAGAGTTCTAATAACGAGGTGTGAACGATCGAAAAGTTATACGGGACCATTGATAAGCGAGTGATCTTTCACCTATTCATTGCTACCTTGGATATTTGAACCTTTGCAGTGGCGAATACAAGAAATGAGTCATCGAGTGAAAAACTCAGACAATCTAAGTCTTAGACGATATATATTTAACAATTCATATTAACGTGATACAGATCTAAATTCACGGCGATGTTTTACGAGGAAAATTAGTATTAACATTCGTGGGACATTTTAATAATTCATAAAATACTTATAGATTACAATGTATTTCAGTTACGGAATACACTGTAGACATTTTCAAAGAAAGGAAATCCGAAATATAAAGGAAAGACAACGGAGACAACGCATAACTATAGAGACCACGTTTTAGTACGACTGATATCAACATATTTCAGTGTATGTATGTGTGTGTGTGTGTGAGAGAGAGAGAGAGACAGACAGACAGATAGAGAGTGAGTGAGAGAAAGAGAGAGAGAGAGAAAGAGAGAGTGAAAGAGAGAGAGAGAGAGATAGGGAGGTTGGGATTAAGCAAGTCTCTGAAATTAAGTCCTACCTTCTTTCCAGTCACATCATGTTCGTCGCCCTAAGAGCAAAAATGAGAGAGGGGGTTTCTGATTTCGGCGCTTCTCTTATACCGACGCGTCACGTGACTACTCTTGCCACTCCTGCTTTATGTATCCAAAAATTCATTTAATTACTTAAGGAAGATAAAAATCAGGATCACTACTTAGTATGACTCTTATTGCCACGAAATACAGCCTCAACTCGGTGTTGAATTTAAGGTGGGCTAAACTTTTAACACTGTAATATCTTCATGAGGAAGAAATTTGCTTGTTGCATATGACGCATAGTAAATTACACAGTGATATTGTAATATTTCACCATCTATTTTGTCCGTTAATTCATGGGACCTTTGCAAAGTAATGTTGTTTTTCGCAATTCTTACGGCCAAAACGACCCCATTTAGTAACCTTCTACGGTGGAATAATGGATTGCGGCTCGGATTGAGGAAAAGATAAATGATCGCCTAAGCGTGTATCACATATGGCACGTAACTGACTGACTACCTTGAGCGGCTCCTGAGCCTTATATTGGGTGAACAGTGTGTAAAAATGTGAACCATTATCAACCTCGTTGCGCTGTTAACTTATCAAATTGATCTGAGGTCCCTTGAATTAATCATAAATCAATTTGATAGTATATATATATGTGTGTGTGTGTATATATATATATATATATATATATATATATATATATATTTAGCTATGCATATATATATATGTGTGCGGTGTGTGTTTGTAGGATGTATAATAGTATCCAAAACAAAAGTGAAGATCATAAAACGTGTTAAATATATTAACAACGCGTTTCGCCGAGAGCGTCTGATCTCTTTGGCTTCCTCAGGTTAGAAAGAAAGACAAAACTCTATCTGAGGAAAAATGCCTCTGAGGATGAATAGAGACCATAAATCAAATTAAATTACATTACATTATCCCCTCCAATGTCCAGACACAAGCAAGTGTCTGTCCACCTGCTTGTTACACACGCACACACACACACACACACACACACACACACACACACACACACACACACACACACACACACATATATATATATAGGGTGTAATGGATAAATAGTCGTCTAAATTACGCAAAAATTAAATTAACACATTTTAACAGATATGTTTACCAAAAATACAAATACTGAAGAGTAAATTTATTCAATAAAATCGCAATTGGCCTCAACCACGGCCTTCAGACGACTTCGGAATCTCCTGCAACTCTTCCGGACGGTCTCCTTGTTTAAGTTGGTGAATGCTGCCATAATCCTTGCCTTCAATTCACCTTTGGTGTTACAAAGAGATTTGTTGGTCTCTCGCTCAACTGCACCACACACAATAATGAAGATGGTTGTAGTCTGAGGAATTGCTAGATGTTAGGGGTGATGAGGTTGCAGAAATTGTATAAGAGTCATGACTGGGTTCTTCTGCTTTGCTTATGTGGCATGCTGCAGAATCATGTTGCCAGACTTGGGCTCTTCCAGCAGTCACCCTCTTTACCCTAGGCAGCACTACTTCCTCAAGTCACTTGATGTAGGCCGCCATGTTGATCTGAACGTTTATATCTATTCGAAGCTTCGAGCAGGTATGAGCTTTCGAGAGAAATCATGGGAAATTTGTAGTTTAAAGGCAGTCTGTACCGACGACACATCAATCAATTTGATGCTTTCCACATGCATTGCCTACATACGATCTGCAACAGAAAACTGGGTGATCGCTTTAGAATCAGTGAAGTTCTGACTAAATGCACCGTGACGATCATTGAAGCCATCGTAGTGAAAATCCAATTCAGGTGGACAGGACATCTTCCTCGTATGAGCAATAGAAGACTTCCAAAACAACTTTTCTTTGGCTAGTTTTTAACAAGCAGGTCAGTTGGACAGCCACTTGTGTTTCTTATATGCCATCTGGTGGATCTCATTAGAAATTGTGAAGTTCTTACTAAATGCAACTTGACGGGTATTGAAGCCACCATAATGAAAATGCATTTAAGGTGGACAGGACATATTTCTCGTATGAGCGATAGCCGATTTCCAAAACAACTTCCCTTTGGTCAGCTTCTAAGAAGCAGGCCGATTGGAAGATCAATTCTTGCATTACAAAGACAAACTCAAAGACAACGTGAAGCAATGAAGCATTCACTTTTCTTTCTGGGATAACTAAGCGTCAGAGTGAAGGAGCTGGGCGCCTGTCCTGCTTCTCATCAATACAAAAGTTTGAGCAGTGCCGACTTGATCATCGGGATCAGCTGCGCGCAAATATTAAAGAAATGTGGCAACATGCTACTCTTCTCAGTGATAGCCTCACCTGCCACTGTAACTTTATCGCTTGCAATATACCAGGCTTTGGTTTGGTTTGGTTTGGTTTATTTTACGGCATATCAACCTCAATGGGTTAATGCTGACAGAATTTTTATTGCTGGTAATATATTTCTTTTATCAAATACATGATTCTGGTAATATTTTTTTCTTCAAAAAATCTATTTCTGATAATATTTTTCCTTCAAAAATGTATCACTGGTAATAATTTTTTTTTTACAGAAATGTATAGCTAGTAATATTTTTTTCCAAAAATGTATTGCTGGTAATGATTTTTTTACAAAGTATTCCTGGCATTAAAACCTGTTTTTACACTTTCATAGTATTTTGATCTCAGTTTGGGGGTTAACTGTTTACTCATAGCTGGGACCCTAACAGGTGATACCACCCCAGGTCAGGGTGGAACTGGGATCACCAGCAATTAAGAGTTGATTCCATGCTCCTCAAAAACTCCTGATCAGAAACCTTGCTGCTGGACGTAATTTATCATCTTACCCAGGATGGTAGCAGGCCTTGCTCTCCATTCACAGAAGCATATGGCAATTGATCTTCAAAGACCTGAGCAAAATGGCTCAACCACATATTCTATGTGTCAAAAAGTTTACAAAACACGTGCAGGCTTCCGGGAGACACATGCGTGTCTGTAGAAATCAGGTACCTCTTTTTATTTTACGGAGCCCTCATTTGTCGTTCGCGACGAGAGAGTCCATCATATATATATATATATATATATATATATATATATATATATATATATATATATATATACACACAAACTAGTTTGATTAAAAATAGGCGACAAGGTCTGGCTGATTACTTTTTATTATATTTTTCCAATTTTTGGATAAGTTGTTGAGTATTGTCCTTGAAGTTGAGGATAAACTCTCCGTAATTCATATTTTGTTATTTTTGTTCAAATATTTCGACTTTCGCAGTCATAATCTAAAAACGATGCACTGTCTGTGTGATAGTTAGAAATCCTTTGGTCTGTATCCTGGTATCCTTTGGGAATCTGAACACTTAAATTGGTCTAGCGTGACGTCATGCGTAAGGAATGGCAAAATAAATCACGTTTTTTCTGGAAAGTTTTGAAATGGTCATTCTTTTAAGAATGCGAATGTCTTCCATAAATATAGTCAGTAGGTAAATTTTATATTAAATTTAAATAAATTTAAATAATAATTTAAATGTAAATTTTATATTAAATTGAAATAATTTAATTTTAAATTTCATATTAAATTTAATTTAATTTTTAATTTAACTTTTAAATAACTCTTAATAATTAAATAACTTTTAAATAATTTTTTAAATTAATAACTTAAATTAATTATTCCAATTTAAATTAATTATTATTTAAATTAATTATTATTCCAATTTAAATTAATTATTACAATTTAATAAGGATAATAATATTCATTTTTTTAATTAAATAAGTTTTAAATGACTTTGAATAATTTTAAGTTTAAATTTAAAATTTATATTAAAATTTAAATATTATATTAAATTTAAATAATTTGATATAATAATTTACATTTAAATTTAAATAAATAATAATATAAATTTCAATTAGAAAATATACTAAGTATTTCTTTTTGTGTTACTGACAACTTTGACTAAATATTTTTTCTATTCTCAGATGAATCTCCTTTGATGATAGACTACAGTTTTTTGATTAGTTTAATATCCGGAGCGGCGCTGGCAATTCACTTAACTTGCTGACAATAGTAATATTTTTAAAAGTATGAAAAGGATTTGAAACTACCAGCATCTCACGTTGTGAAGTCCTAACAACGCAAACAAACTGAGTCTGATGAAGTCCTAACGGATGAAACGCGTCACAAATAAACTTTTTCCAATTTGTCTTACAATCTCCTCAATACTGATCTTGACCTTGATATATAAAATATCTCATATATATATATATATATATATATATATATATATATATATATGCACGTATGTATGTATATATATATATGTATATACATATATGCGTATGTGCGTATATGTGTGTATGTATATGTATATACGTGTGTGTGTATATATATATATATGCATATGTATATATATATGTATATATACGTGTGTATATATATGTATATGTTTGTATATATATATATATATATATATATATATATATATATATATATATATAAAATAAGTGAGAGATTATAGTTGTTCCGACGAGAGAAAAGTGTATATTTTAAAGAAAAAGATTAGCTGCAAACGTCTTTGGGTTGTAATGCGGGTTTTTTTTTTATATATTATACTTTATCTTCCATATGAATTCCTGTAAATAATATGTGTAAATAACCATTCTTCGCCTGATGAAGGTCACAAGACCCGAAATGCGTGTAGCAAAAATATGGAAAATAAAGTGTAATAGGTAAAAAAATTCACATTATAACCAAAAACGTTTGCAGCTTCTCTTTTCATCTCTCTCTCTCTCTCTCTCTCTCTCTATATATATATATATATATATATATATAAATAAAATTTGTTACTTATCTGATTCATCTTATATTCAGCATCTCGACTATGGAGTTTCTTAGGCAAACCATCTGTACCGTCCATACGTCAGGCGCCTTCAGTCCCTTGATATATGCCAGAGAATTAAACTTTTAGCTGCAACTGACCCTCCTACGGACACTATTTTTGTTAAATTATTATTGATTATATATATATATATATATATATATATATATATATATATATATATATTCATACGTTTCATTAAATAATATAGACAAGTGTTGTCTATTTATTTTATGTAAATTCTTTTCATAACGTCTGATAAGTTTAATAACATTATCGTTGAACGAAGAAAGAAAATCACAATATTGATACATATTTTTTTAATACAATCTAAACTTTCGGCTTACATAAGCCATTATCAAAGATGTCAATTACAACATATTAAGCAATATACGGACAAGACAGTGATGATAGTCTGTGAATGTTTACATAGATGATTTCTAAGCAACGATAAACACGTGCATATAAGACGCTAGAAGCGAAAATCGCACCGCATCTCATGACGTCACACATGAACACACGAGAGTGAATTGGAGAAGTATGAAGTATGGGAAGCCATTGGTATAAACCAATGTCTTCTCTTACCAATTATAGACATTTAAGGATATTTGTAGAGATTCCATAATTGATTTTGTTTAGGTTGGGTTTCAACTTTTCAACTTTTTTTAGTATTTTTAGTTTTTGTCTATTGTTTTCATGTCGAAGTATAATTGCGTTTTCGACAAGTATTTTACAGAATTGTGTGCGAGCAGGCATGTTGTTTTAAATGCCTAAAAATGTTAGAGTTTTCATTTACTAAAATATATATATTTATGTGTGTGTCTGTATGTGTATATATATATATATATATATATATATATATATATATATATATATATATATATATATATATAGTAATAAATAAAAATGTAATGTTCATTTATCTTGTCCCTACTCAGAGTTTCACGGAGATGAATTTTACAATCAAATCTCCAGATGAGTGAATGTAATTTTATTTATTACTATTAATGGTCAAAATATTGAGCACTATAATTACAAAGACTGCTTGCCTTAAAAATGTTAGCTTCCAGAAATACTTTGGTCGACCTTTTTTGTTACCTGGCGAAACACAATCTTCGCTATATATATATATATATATATATATATATATATATATGGACTGCTCTGCAGCAGAGTTTTCGACTCGACCCACCTAGCAAATTTTGACAGAACTGAATGTTTGAGGGGAAGGGAGAAAGTGCTTCTGGCCGAGAACTTTTCTGCATAATCTTTCACTCTGGAATGAGAATGCCAAAATAAGAGAGGTTTGTATTTCTCTATATACATATTCTGACGTGTCTTTGGGAATACGCAATTAGCACCTCGGCCATTATCACCCAACCTGTCGTTTTATTTATTTTATTGATACTCCTCCTCTACCCGACCCTTGATTCCCGTTGCATGTCTCTCTTACTCGACCTTTCCGTTTTCCAACCCCAAGTAACCGCCTCTTTATAGCTTTCACCTCACCTCACTCAACACTGTACACCTGTAATTTAAATCTATTAGCACCTGAGATTGACGACATCTACCTGGCAAGCGGCTCCTAATAATGTAATTGCAAGTTTTATTAAATACACTGGCCACAGCGACCACAAATACAATCTGTTTCTTTAGTTCTGCTACTGAGGTAGTCGCAGTTAGTTTTTCTGTTTCCTTTCATCTCTTTTGTTGCAAGACGTATGGTTGCGATTACAACTAAACTCACATTACAAACAAAGGTTTTTGTATTTTCTTTCTCTTACTACAGGTGAAAATGTCCATTCATTCGTTTCCTCTCTTTTCTTTTCTTTTATAAAAATAAAACAACTTAATACTTCGTTTACAGTGGAGAATATAAATCCACATAAAATAAAGAGAAATGAAAAAAAAACGCGAACTCGATGGAGTCGACAGGTGTAATACCACTTTTTATAAAATAAGCGCTCAATCGAACTGAATGAATTATAGCGATTAAGACTATATAGTGTTAGGCAGCTATTAAAACCAAAATTAAAACGCTTTGTATTTCATTTTATTTTTGTTGTTACAAGAATTATGGGTGTGATTATAACTAAACTCTCACTATGAGTAAAAGTTTTATATACACCCCCTTAATATAAGAAAAAAAATTCTCATTTGTCTTTATTTTTATTTTCATTTCCCGCTCTTCTCTTAAAACCATATTTGGATATATTCACTGTTTTTAAAATATTTCATTTTTCCTTCTTTGATAAAAAAAAACACTTGGTAATAAGTTTATACTTGAGACTATGAAACCACATAAAACAAGAAGAGTTGGAAAACGCGAACACGAGGGAGTCGACAGTTATAATACCACTTCTTTAGCAGAAGCGGTCAGACAAACTAAATGACTTAACGAAAAAACCAGTATCAGTTAGCTATATAGAAACACAAGTATGTTATGAATGTATTCATATAAAGAAGGCTGAAGAATCGATCTGCCAAAATATGGACAGTTTTTAAAGATTGATATTCTGAGATCATTGAAAACAGTTTCTTTCGGGATTATGGCCAAATCAATTTTTAACCGTCCTTTTGTTGGTTCCTTCAACACTTCGGAATAGCTTATATTTAAAAACAAACCTAGAAAATTTACGTAAATTGTAATCGGTTATTGTTTGTTATTGTTACGTGTATGATTGATTAATAGATTGATTTAATAATTGGCGAGCTGTAATGACTTTGGCCTGGTTAAGGTGCATATCTGCGTGTCACGCGAGGACTGGATATTTACTCGTCTTATCTGACAACGATAGAAGGTCAAAAGGGCAGCGCATAATAAAGAAAAGGGAAATTAGGTTGCGCCAGTCTTCCAACTAGGGAGGGCCTTCATTGTAAGTCTGAGTCTTTTGCAAATATTTTGGAGAATAAATATTTGTACTTTTTTTTTTTAATCGTTTCACGCCTAAGAAGGCGACAGTGTCATTAGAACGGAGGGAGTTACAATGGTGAAAGTGAAAGAGAACGAGAAGACTGAAAAGGTGGGGAGGATTGAGGAAAGGGCAAAAAAGGTACAGAGTTCAAGAAAACAGAAGATGACGATTGACATTGCATTTAAATCTTTGAAGATTGTAGTTATCAGGGAAGCAAGAAATCAGAAGGGAGTCCCGCAGGTGGGAAGTGTGTTCGCATTTTACTTCACTAATCCTAAAATCATATTCTTTGATTCTCTCAAATACTTTTTTTTTTTACATCTTCTGCATATTGCTTTCGGGTCTTACTTTTAATAAGTACGTCTTCCAAATATGTTTGAGCACAATCCAAACCGGCAAGCATGGTATCCATTATATGTTGGAATATGCTTGATGCTACCTTTATACCGAAAGGAAGCCGGTTGAATGTGTATAATCAGTGTTAGTTGTTAATAATTTTGAGCAGTCTTCGTCCACAACTACTTGCAGATAAGCGTCTGACAGTGCTGGAAAAGAAACTGTTAAAGTTGAAGCGACGGTTGCATTTAGCTAGTTCAGCAGTAAGAGGGTGGGACCTAATTGCCAATTGAGTAACATGCTTAAATTCATGTAGTCGGGGTACCAAAGAAAAAAGCTCATCAGAACAGTTTCTCTGAGAATACTTGTAGAAAAGACAGAGGGAAGCCACGTCACGTCGCTATGAAAGTGACTGAAGCCGAGATGACTGGCGTGATCGATTAGATTACCGACCCTTTAGATTTTGTCAAGAATCGCGAGATGTACAGCAGGAGCATCAGACAAAATATAGCAGCAATATTCAATGCACGGACGAACAGAGACAGGCGTAAATGGTAGTGTCATCTGCATTGTTAAAGAAATGTATTTTCCTCATTAGGCCACGAACTTATTGATTTGTATATATTATACATAACTATTCTGTAGTATCTGTGTACAAACTTACGGTCCAATCACGTTGAAAATATCGTTTCTACTTCAATTAGCGATTTACAGAAGGAGTACTAGATTAGTTATGGCAGGCGTATTCAATGCACGTTTGACGCGACGAAGAGATCAGACGTGGTTATTTCTTGTCTTGGGGAACTTGCTCCCCAGTGGGGTTGATAGAGCGACCCCAATGGCTAGTTAAAAATATGCACGTCGATGTGTTAAGATAAGTAAAAAAAAGAAAAGTGAGTGAAGAAAGAGAAGAAGTCAACTTTATTATGATCGCCTCAAGACCGTCAACCAAAAGTGACCCCCAGAACGAGTGGGCTATACAACATTTCACTACTAAAAGCATTTCGACACCCGACCGGGAGAAGACGGCCTAGAGAAGAAAGAAAAGAGAGGAAGACAACTTTAGTGTGATCGCCTCTATCAAGAAAGACAACTCCAGAAGACAAGAAGCTATACAACGAGTGAATGCTCGACAACTTTCTCACATTAGAAGGAAAGTCTTGAGGAAAAGAAAATATGGTCCTACAGAAGGTACGATAACATATGGATATCCACTAAAAATAACATTTAAAACGATAAAACCATTTATATATTTAGTCAGGTGCACATTCAGTTATCAGTGGTTACCTACGATGCTGATATCGAAATTAACCAAACCTGAAGGCATGAAACCTCATGTTTTTGTCTTGTTCAATTCGTTAAGCAGTAAGCAACGAAGAGGTTTGAAGGAAATGGAAACAAAAAAGACACTTCTACTTAGAACCAGAAGACAAAAAAATTCTGGGACAAAAAAATGAAGAAAGAGAGCTTGGAGAATTTGAAACTCACAAGACGTTGAAGGCAAGCGGGAAAGCAGCTAATAACCTACCTAAAGAGATGGCTAGCAGAACAGGGATTAGAAGGGATCGCAAAAGAAGGGATGCTGGTATCAAAATTAACCAGACTTGAAGGCATGAAACCTCATGTTCTTGTCTTGTTCAATTCTTTAAGCAGTAAACTACACTTGAGTCCGTGTTAGTGGCATTGAGAGCAAACACCATAGAATCGAACCGTTGAAGCACCAGTTCTCGCACGATCACCGAAGTTAAGCAACGTCGAGCCTGGTTAGTACCTATATGGGCGGCGGTCTAGGAATACCGGGTGTTATATGCTTGAATGTGCGGCTGGTGTAATGGATAACGCCTCGGAATTAGAAATCGGAGAACCGAGTTCGAATTCCAGTTGGGTTTGTTATATTCACTTAAGTGCAAATACACTTGAGAAAAGTTATGAATCTACATCTTCTCCCCTCCCTCCTCTCTAGCTATAGGTTAATTACAAGGACTTGTATCAGTAAATCAATATTATCTCCCCTCAAAAATTCTTACAATCTAAAATCATTTTCTGGCTTTGAATAAAACTGCTAAACGGAACGGTGGAGTAATGGATAACGGCTCGGATTAAGGAATCAGAGAGCCGAGTTCGAATTTCAGTTGAATCTCTTACATTCAATTACGTTTGGGAAAGGTATGAATCCTCTTCTTCTCGCTCTCAGCTATGAGTAAATAGCAGGACAGACCAAGTTCTATAGCTTTGGATGGCAACTGGTCTACCGCAGAAAGAAATGGCAACCTAATACGGGAAAAATCTGCCCTCGTCAGTCATGTATCGAAAGATACATGATCGCCTAAGCGTGTATCACGCATGGCACATAGCTGACTGAAATTCACTTACTTGCTAATAAACTTAGGAAAGGTATGAATCCTCCTCTTCTCCCCCATCAGCTATAAGTAAATAGCTATGACCGAGTTCTGCAGCCTTGAATGGCAACTGGTCTACCGCAGATACAAATGGCAACCTACTGCGGGGAAAATCTGCCTCGTCAGTCATGTATCGAAAGATACATAATCGCCTAAGCGTATATCAAGCATTACACATAACTGACTGAAATTCACTTACTTGCTAATACCCTTGGGAAAGGTATGAATCCTCTTCTCGCTCTCAGCTATGGGTAAATAGTAGGACAGACCGGGTTCTATAGCCTTGGATGGCAACTGGTCTACCGCAGAAAGAAATGGCAACCTACTCCGGGAAAAAATCTGCCTCGTCAGAAGTGTGTATCACGCATGGCACATAACTGACTGAAAAGGTTGATAAGCCGTAAAAACAAATCGATCATTCATAGATTTGAACTGTCACTGCTATCTAAGTTGTTGACCTGTTAAACATAAATCATATATTTAAGCTTAAACATAAATGATTAAACATAAATGATATATTTAAGATACAACTCCAGTTTGGCGGGAAATTGATTTTTAAAAACAGACACTATTTCATCATGCAAATCCATCAAACTTCCCCGCTGTTGTTCTGTCGCCTCTCCTTCTCCTCTCTTTTCTCTTCCTTCATCAAAGTGTCCCCTATTCTGGAACTTGATATTAATGATGCCGTCTGCTTACTGAAGCATCCGCGAAACTTTTATCGTCGGTAATGGCGTGCTTTCTACATGTGTCGTGCAGATCAGAGCACTTTTGTCGGGATATAGAAGTTTCTTCCACACCTGCTGCCCACTGAGTGGACAAGCAGGTTTGAAAGGTCCCCAGGGAAGCAGATACACCTGTCCTGTCTAATGATCGACGAACCATTACTTGAGGTGCGCGTGGGAGTCGAAAGAAGTAAGATTTTTTTTTTTTGCTTTTTGTGGAATAGCTATTTTATATTTTTACAATGTTTTTTTCTTTCTGCATCCAACCCAAACATAATTGGTTGTTCATTTATGCGAACGACAGACTGTTATCGAGCTTTACGATTTAATATTTTATTTCATATACTGGGGTTCATCAGAAAGGAACAGCACAAGATGCAGTCTGGAAACACCAAAATCAAGCAAGTACTAACATTTGAATATCACGGAAATGTTTTAACCGGGAATGGAAAATTTGACACTGATATCCGAAGGCGCATTGGGATAGCGAAAGATGCCTTCGAAAAGCTAAGCAACGTATTATGAAACAAGAAAACTTCGTTAGAAACAAAGAATATTGCTCTAATATCAATCCATCAATGTGTTAAATAATAGCTTCAGACTATTTTTTTTTAGTGGCAGTGTATTTGGCTCAGACGTTCTGAGGCTGACCTTAAGGTCAGATGGTAGACAAAATAGGGATATCGAGTGTGATTGGCTGAGCCGAACGTGGGAATGTTAGTGTTAGAAAATGTTTTCGTGGAGTTAAATTTTTACACGTCATACACATTAGACGTGGTTATTTCATTTCTCGCGTAACTTGCTCTCCAGTGGGGCTGATAGTGCGACCCGACTGGCTAGTTAAAAATGTACACGTCGACGTGATTAATAAAATAGATAAGTTTAAAAATCCCTTTTGTTGAAGTTCTCATTTTATCTCCTTCTAAAAGAAGGACTAGCGATCACCAGCCGAGAGAAGAAAGAGAGAAAGACAACATTATTATAATCGCCCAACACTGTAAACCAAGAGACCCCCCACAGAACTAGGGGGCTATACAACACATTGATTCAGTAGTCACTTCACTTCATGCCAATAGAAAACGTGAGACCAAGAAAGGCGTAGCGTGTTGCTCTTCTAGAGTTCAGCATCAGCAGAAAGAAAAAGGTTCTCCGTGGTGATTAAATGAAAGCAGTTTTTATTTTTATTTTTGAGGCGTTAAAATTTATAAGCTATTTTCTTGCTCCAGTTCAACACTGATTAGAGGTCATTTTCAAGTGCAGTTATCAGGTTTTAAAGTTAGCAACGTTTTTATTTAAAACTTTTATAATACATCCAATTGCATATAAATGTTTTACTTTTCTTCCAGTAGACATATCAATTAATCTGATATTTTCATTCCACTTCATGTTAGTAGAAAACATGAACCGGAGAAGGCGTAGAATGTTGCTCTCTTGAAGTTTAGCATCAGCCATGCTGATGGCAGGCAGAAAATATTCTCTCTGGTGGTTAAATGAAAGCAATTTTGTTTTGGAGGCATTCAAATTTACAAGCCATTTTCTTGCCCCAGTTCAACACTGAGTGGAGGTCTTTTTCAAGTGCAGTTGTCAAGTTTAGTTTGTCAGATCTGTCGTATTTGCAACTGAGACAGGCGTAAATGGTAGTGTCATCTGCATTGTTAAAGAAATGTATTTTCCTCATTAGGCCACGAACTTATTGATTTATATATATCATGCATAACTATTCTGTAGTATCTGTGCACAAACTTACGGTTCAATCACGTTGAAAATATCGTTTCTACTTCAATTAGCGATTTACAGAAGGAGTACTAGATTAGTTATGGCAGGCGTATTCAATGCACATTTGACTCGACGAAGAGATCAGACGTGGTTATTTCTTGTCTTGGGGAACTTGCTCCCCAGTGGGGTTGATAGAGCGACCCCAATGGCTAGTTAAAAATATGCACGTCGATGTGTTAAGATAAGTAAAAAAAAGAAAAGTGAGTGAAGAAAGAGAAGAAGTCAACTTTATTATGATCGCCTCAAGACCGTCAACCAAAAGTGACCCCCAGAACGAGTGGGCTATACAACATTTCACTACTAAAAGCATTTCGACACCCGACCGGGAGAAGACGGCCTAGAGAAGAAAGAAAAGAGAGGAAGACAACTTTAGTGTGATCGCCTCTGTCAAGAAAGACAACTCCAGAAGACAAGAAGCTATACAACGAGTGAATGCTCGACAACTTTCTCACATTAGAAAGAAAGTCTTGAGTAAAAGAAAATATGGTCCTTCAGAAGGTACGATGAACATATGGATATCCACTAAAAATAACATTTAAAACGATAAAACCATTTATATATTTAGTCAGGCGCACATTCAGTTATCAGTGGTTACCTACGATGCTGATATCGAAATTAACCAAACCTGAAGGCATGAAACCTCATGTTTTTGTCTTGTTCAATTCGTTAAGCAGTAAGCAACGAAGAGGTTTGAAGGAAAATGGAAACAAAAAAGACACTTCTACTTAGAATCAGAAAACAAAAAAATTCTGGGACAAAAAAATGAAGAAAGAGAGCTTGGAGAATTTGAAAATCACAAGACGTTGAAGGCAAGCGGGAGAGAGGAAAGCAGCTAATAACCTACCTAAAGAGATGGCAGCTAATAACCTACCGAAATCAATGGCTAGCAGAACAGGGATTAGAAGGGATCGCATAAAAAGAAACCTTACTAAGAGCTACAAAGGACAGAGAGATGTGGTGATCCATCATCGGTAACGTCCTGAATGGACACGACACATAGAAGAAGAAGGGGGAGTAGATAAATAATTTTCATCAAGAGGAACCCTTCAAGAATATTGGCATATTTGTGAAGCTTGTGTAGTGATCTACATATGGCATAGTTAATGACTGCCATACTTTAGTCTCACTAGTTCTGACATTTACAGCTAGAACTCGCCAATTCTACATCCACAGAGTCGAATCATCCACATTCATCCCTATGTTCCATATATGGATGCTTTCTTGAACACTGTGATCATAATCTCTTCAAAACAAGAGTCAGTCGCTATCTGTCTTTATCCTCATCATATTTATTTCCTTTTAGCATCTACATTCTGTAACCATCTACTACGAGTGGCTCATTAAACTTATATTTGGTGAGCCTTATAAATCTAATTAAGTGATCCTAGCTCGTCAGAAAGGATTTGTGTGCTGTTGGTCGGATTGTTTGCATCTTGTTTTTCAAAAGTATCATTACTGGTTTTATTTCGAAGGACAAGCATCAGAATAGGATCTTTCGTAGGACAAGCATCAGAATAGGATCTTTCGTAGGACAAGCATCAGAATAGGATCTTTTGTAGGACAAGCTTAACCATCGGTATTATTTCGAAGGAAAGACATCATAATCAGTTCTATTTCATAGGAAAAGTAACATAATCGGTTTTCATTCGAAGGACAAGCTACATAATCGGTTATAAAAGGTGTTCTAATAACTTGGACCGATTTTAAATGTGAATTAAGTTTAAGCGTCTAATGATTTCTTTCTTTTAAGCGGACATTTGGGCGATATTATTTTTAACACATAATTGCCATGACTCAAATAACATTATCCAATAGAGAAATAAATAAATCTTCACCAATAACACTGATTTATTTACTGCTGACTTTGATCCGTCTTAATGAAACACCCTTATATATAATCCGTCTTAACGAAACACTCTTTATTTCGAAGGACAAGCTACATAATCGGTTTTAATTCTTAGAACATGCATTATAACTGGTTCTATTTGAAAAGACACGCATCATAATAGGTTTTCATTCATAGAACTAGCAGCACAATCGGATTTCTTCTGTAAGACAAGCATAATAGTCGGTCTTATTTCGAAGTACAAAAATCATAATCGGTTTTATTTGGAAGGACAAATATCATAATGGGTTTTCATTCGTAGAACTAATATCATAATCGGTTATATTTCGTAGGACAAGCATTATAATCGGTTTTATCTTGAAGGAGAAACATCATAATCGGTTTTCTTTCCTAGGACAAGCATCATTATGGGTTTTTATTCGTTGGACATGTTGCAGTTTTTGTGTATATAAGTAACTAGTGAGTTAGCTCAAATGACTTAACTCACTTTATAGTCCACCAATAGAAGGTTAACCAATCAGAAGACGTAGAATATTCAATCCGTCGTGTATAAAGGCGGCCATTTTGTTCACTCGAAGACGACCGCCATCATGAATAACAGGACAAACACCATAATCGGTTATATTTAAAACGACAAGCAACAAAATTGAAGAAAATGGATAAATTGTTCTGGATAAATTGTCCTGGATAAATTGTTGCCTAAATTATGCAAGAATGAAAATAACACTGACATCTCATTTTAAGAAATATGTTTACCAAAATTACACACAAATATCTTGAAAAATAAAATAGTAAATTTATTCAATAAAATCGTCATTGGCTTCAACCACGGCATTTAAACGACTTCGGAATCTCTTACAACTCTTCTGGACGATCTTATTTAAGTTGGTGAATGTTGCCATAATCCTTGCCTTCAATTCATCTTTGGTGTTACTAAATAATCAACGGGGTTACAGTCTGGAGAGTTAGGTGGCCAGTTGTAAGGAGTGTTGTGGTCGCAGAAATTATCTGACAGCCATGACTGGGTTCTCCTGCTTGTGCGGCATGGTGCAGAGTCCTGTTGCTAGATCTATGTTCTTCCAGCAGCCACTCTCTTTACTCAGGACAGCCCTACTTCCTCAAGGCACTTGATGTAGGCCTCCGTGTTGAATTTGAGGCCCTGTGGGAAGATGAATGGAGGTGTAACGTCACCATCACTAGTGATCATTCCAAACACCATGATGTTGACTGGATATATCATCCAACTCTTTCCGAATCCTCTGCACTGTCACCTAAACACTATGAAATGTTTGTATTGGGTTTCCGGTGCGAATGCCAAGCAGTACAGCATGCACGTTTCCAAATTTATGGCGCAGTGAATTGCGTCATGGTGCTCTTTTTCTCACAGACGGTGCCCAACTGACCCAACTATATATCTGTTAAAATGAGATATCAGTGTTATTTTCATTTTTTGCGTAATTCATACGACAATTTATCCATCGCACCCTATATATATATATATATATATATATATATATATATATAACTATAGGATTGGTATATACGGAATAAATTCCAATAACCAACAATTACTATTCTTAAAAGAGTGCTCAATACAGAGTAGAGCAAATATAATTATTTATTTAAAAATTATAGCCATTTTGTTTCAACACCTCTGGTGTCTTATCAAGTGATGATGTTGAATGTAGATTGTAGAATAAAGGTTTTAAAAGGTTTCAATTAATTAACCACCCCTCGTAAGGGGAAACGCCATTACATTCAACATCATCACTTGATAAGACACCAGAGGCGTGGAAACAAAATGGCTATTTTTGTTGTTTTTATAACATATTTATATTATAATTCTTAAATAAATAATTATATATCTATATCTATATATATTGCTTTTATATATATATATATATATATATATATATATATATATATATATATATATATATATATATAAAAAAGCAACTCGTAGTTGGTAAATGCCAACTGTGATAAAATTGGAAATTAAAACTAGGGCCTATAAAAAGTAAGATAAATGGAGAATAAAAAAATGAAACCGAGAAACCTCAAGTTCCACCCTAAAAAATGAAGGACCGTCAGGTCAGGTTAAATCTTCATCTCGTGTTGCTTGTGGTTTATGTCTTAAATATCATCTCGATTTCGTAGTTTTTTTTTTTTTTTGTTAGGCCGGATGTGAATGTCATCCGGGTTCCATATTAGTTATTAAATGTTATTTTTTTTCTTTCGCATGCGAACTTCTTTGAAACATGAGTTGATTCCGTTATATTTTTATTCTTCAATTATCTTACGTGATGTCTATCACAGGGTGTCCCAGAATTAACTATTTCACTGAATTCGGACAATTAAAAAAAGAATTGTCCGATTTCTTATTTAGATAATTCTTGAACACCCTGTATATTCTTTGACGATAATTGAAAGCGTGAAATTTTCAGACAACATGCAGTTCTGATTTCTTACTCCATATTAAAGAAAAACAGACCACTTTAAGGTTCCATTATAATAATTTATTTCACCAGAGCCCTTTTAAAGGACGCCGGATCATCAGTTAGCACTTCCAAAAAATGAAACGAATAATGAAATGAAAATTGATGGGCAGTGTAAGTTTTTATAATTTAACAGAGCGTGTAATAAGGAGTGGCTAGAGAGACACGGTAGAGATTAGGGTGGGTTTAATTTAATATCTCTCTCAATCATACTTAGCATTGTGGGAGGAGGAGTGACCAGACCTTGACCTATTTATTTGACCTATATATATATAAAAGGCTCAAACACTAATATATATATATATATATATATATATATATATATATATATATATATATATATATATATATATATATATATATATATGTGTGTGTGTGTGTGTGTGTGTGTGTGTGTGTGTATGTATGTATGTATGTCTGTCTGTGGGTGTGTGTATTGAGACATGTTTTATTGAATAATTTAGGCATGATCTGTCTACTTATTTTCACATGTCCCAAAGAAAACATGCTGCCAAAATATACGCATATATATATATAAACCGTCATCCACTGACAGACTGTTCCATTGTATCACAGCTCATCAGTGTGGCTAGATATCTCATTGCCTCGTATATTTTTTATTCTTCAATTATCTTACGTGTTGTCTATACAGGGTGTCCCAGAATTAACTATTTCACTGAAATCGGACAATTTACAACCCCCCCCCAAAAAAACCAAAATCCCCCAAAAATCTCACTTTTATTTCTGTTCATTATTTTTAATATGTGCTAGAAAAGAGTAAATTTCTAATTTCGTTTATAACTTTGTCATTTTCTTTTCTAATTTTATTTTCATTCCATCCCAGACCCCTGTTAATAAGGAATACACAAGAACGCATCTTTGTTGACTCTCTGGTATTCTATCCTTGGGCTTTCATAAAAAAACAATGGCCAAAAGGTCAATAATTTAACCAAGCTTAAAGAAGGCATACTATTTTATTTTGGGACTATGAAGCAGCATTCCTTCCATGTGACACCTGTGTATCTTTATTAAAACATAAGATATACTTTGTGTCCGATGAGTTGGAAAACCAGCGA